CTCTAAGCGATCTGTCATGGCAGGCAGAGAAGATACTAGACGGAGAGAGGGAAAAACAAGGCTTAGTGAAATGATTCGACATTTCCCCAGGAATAAGACATCAGCCTTAAAACCGATCTCAACTAGTTGCTCCCTCCCGTGTCTGCTCACACCTTCACATGTGCAACTATATACGTTACCTGCACTCAAAATACAGGCAGAACAATTTGCATGGAGAAAAACAAACGTTCTCAGAACTGCAAAGAGAAAATGGATTTTCTTCCGCAAGTGGAATTCAGGTATGGGCTGTTACAAGAAAACTAACAAAGGCGATCCTGGCTGGTACCGACTGGCACCGAGATAAGCGTGCCTATGTAAACGTGAGCACACGTGCAGTGGGAACACAGTGAAACGTGCTAGCAACAACCTCGCTCGCTTTCACGATTTGGAGTATTTCCGTAGCATAGCACTGTTAAGCAGTTTGTAAAGCGCACGCACAGAATGTACCAACCTTTTAATGCCTTCTGCAAAGTCTCCAAACAGCTCACCAGATGTTGGTGCCCCCCAGAGTTCATCACAACTCGCTTTTCCTTAGTCAGAAAAAAGAAGAAGAAGAACGTCCTTTTTGTGTATCACTCAGGAAGAGGGAAGTATTGCAACTTTTGATCAGTCAAGTGAGGTTTACTTAGGTATTTAAAAGAAGATTACATTTCATTCCAAAATTACATCCTCATTTTGATTCCTGTAGGAGAACAGTATCCATTTTGGAAGCAGGTGACAAAGGCAGGCCTGAAATGGATTTATTTTCTTTTAAGCAACCTGCTCATCTGGAAGAACAGACTGTAGCAACTTTTTAACAGGTATAAGCCAAGAGAAATAATGAGACGGGAAACTTTTAACACCACAATATATGCAGAAACCATTGACGTAGCTCTCCCCCGCCTCCTGCTCCTCCTTCGCCCCCACCGAGAGACCAATATTTCAAACTCATGTTTGACTAAGCCAACGCCGAGTCTTGAACATCACTGAACGGGGAGCAAATTGCTTTACGAAACACAAGCATCCTGAAACAGCAAGTGGCAGAACGGTTTGGGCTTCCCAGCACTGGCTGAAGCCACAAGTTTGACCCTTTTCCTGGCACTGAGCTGACAGCTGCCCCATGTCAATTAGGCGGTAGAGGGGGAGGCTGTTAATTAGGGAAGGCAAAGGCACGCCAGGCAGAAAGGGTACGGACATCACCCCCTCCCCTGCACGCTGCGGGGTGTGAGAACTGGCACGCCTCAACCACACTGGCCTGGGAGGAAGCCAAGGCTTGAATGACACGTAAAGCACTTTGAAGAGATCTAACAAACCAACAACAAAGTTCTTGCTAAAGAAACTTCAGAAACCCTCCTGCTCAGATCCCAACAATTCTCACCATGACTTGACGGACTAACTTCATGGTTTCTGTCCAAGGTCTGTTTTGGTTGTATTTTGCGTGAAGTCTTTCTAAGAGGGTACTCATCTTATTCAGCTTCTCCGTTTCTGTAAGACAGGGGAATATTCAGAAAAGAGGAACAGGACAGTATTTGCAGTTTTACAAACAAAACAGTTTGGCAGTTGTAATGAAAATACTTTCCACCTTTAAGCTAAACATGATTTCAAAAAACTTATTTACTGCCAATTTATCGCTGCGACCTAGACCTTAAGGTTAAGTAAATGTTAAGGATACATCACAAGCTATCGAAACTAAAGGACCATAAAATGCCTACAGGCCTGCTGGGAAAGGCCCAGCTCCTATTCTGCACAGACCCTGAATGACGTGGCCCCATCGGGTTAAGTTCTGGCATGACAGGAACATATCGGGGCGCTGTTTGAAGATACAATGGCATGGCCTAAAGATGAAGCTTCCCCGGGAGAGTAAATGGAGAGTGTAGAAAACATTGTGTTAAAGCAGCGAGGTTAAGCTTCGTTTCCTGGATTCCCCTTCACTGTTCTCTCTTCCAACTCTCCAACTTCTTCTAAAGATCAAGTAAAGATCTTTACTCACGGTAAAGATCTCCACAGACCCTCCCATCACCGAAAACCTCAACCAAATCGGTCCGACTGCCAGCTGTCACAAAATCTCTGATCAGACACACTCCTACCTCACGCTAGCTTGAAACCCGAGGGCTGGTGTCTCCTCGGTGCCGTTCGAGAGCCAGGGCACGGCTCCGAACACCGTGAGATAATGAAGCAGTGGACGACAGGAGGGGTCGCGGATCTCTACCAACCTAGAACATACTCAGCCTTTACAAAACACCCCTCATATCCCACAGACTCCCATCTACTACCTGTGGCTCTACAAGCTCATTTCTGTATATTTTAGAAAGCTCCACTGTTATGAATATCTCCCTGAGGAGAGAAAAGCAGGGATACAGGACCAGTGACTACGCAAGAAACTAGTGGACAGTCTAGCTAAAAAAGTTCCAAGATGAAATGGTGCATTTTTTCTTTACTATCTAGTCGGACACTTGCGCAAAGAGAACGCAGGTTTCAGGAGTACTACAATTTTGTCTTTTTTTGCTAAGAGGCAGCTTTTTCCACACTTGCATTTGCCAGAAAATCCCAGCGGACATCACTGCCAAAATAAACCCCGTCACTGGCTCTAGTGGGTCCAAGGCAAACAGACGTCTACGACATTTTAACTGCCACGGCATGCAACCCTGCAAGCCCCCACCTGCAAAATTTCAAGGGTTTGTTTTCGTTATTGATGCACGTACAGCTCACAGACCCAATGCTGACCCTGTCAAATCCAAGCGTAAGGAATGAATAAATGTTGGCTAGGCACTTTCAGACACTTGATACCTCTCAGCTACGTCAGAATCACGCAACGGTTGAGGCTGGAAGGGACCTCCGGAGGTCACCTGGTGCGAGCCCCCTGCCCAAGCAGGGCCACCTACAGCAGGCCGCCCGGGGCCGTGTCTGGACGGCTTTTGAACCTCTCCACGGACGGAGACTCCACACCACCTCTCTGGGCACCCTGTGCCAGTGCTCGGGCACCCTCAGAGCGAAAAAGTGTTTCCTGACGCTCAGGCGAGGCCTCCTGCCTTCCAGCCTGCCTCCGCGGCCTCTGGTTCGCACCTGAAACGAGCCGGGCTGCCTCTGCTTTACGCTCTCCCTCCAGGTGTTTATGTACAGCGACAAGATCCCGCCAGGCCCCGGGACAGGGGGAGCCCTGCCAGACCTCAGCGAAGCTGCAGCCTCACGAGAGCGTTCGCCTTTA